ACACACACACACACACACACACACACACACACACAGAGAGACACAGACACACACACACACACACACACACACTCTCACAGAGACACACACACACAGAGAGAGACACACACACACACACACAGACACAGACACACACACACACAGGATTTATTTAAGCACCTCAGTAAGGGTTATGACAAACAAATTTTTACTGAACTCAGAAACACATACTATAGCAATGAGTAAGTAATTAATAAACACACATTCCTGCCTCACTGAAATAGTTAATATTTATCTTTCCACAAACACTAATGAAGCAGAGGAAGATGCTCTCATGGAAACCAGCAGAAACACTCAGAATAGCAGCATACTGATCGTACTGTTTTCTATTCTTCTTCACACCTCTCTGCAATTAATCCAGCCTCAAATGCTTAAAGTACATCACACATATTTTGTGTAGGTCATTTTAGGACAAAATTACATAGGTGTGCTTTCTATTTGGTTTTTATAATCTTGAATGAATGTGGAGTTTGAAAGTCACACTTATAACAGCATTCACAGTCTAACCAATGATGTCACCGTCATATTTGCATACTGAATACATGAATACCATAACTCTGGAAACGCAAACATAATGTCAAATAAATCATCATTATATTACATTGAGATTTTGTTTTGAAAAACGGTGTGATTCCAGACTGGTGGTTCAGGTTTGAGACTCTTCGGTTCTAGACTGACAGAGACATTAGACTCCAGCTTAGAAGAGCATCCAGCGGTCTAGTCCACGGAAACGATCATTCTACAGTCAGCAGTGTGAGCAATGCAAGCCTCATGATGAAACAATCTCAAGCAATTTCAGGGATTCTGAGTATATAATTCGGGTTTTATATTGTGTGTTGTGTGTGTGTGATGGAACAATGTGTGTCAAATTACACACACACTCACAAAGCATCACTCGTACACACACGCCTGGAGGTTTTGCCCTGATCAGAGCTCATTTCCTCAAACGCTGTGAAGAAAAAAGTAATTTCCTGATGGTCAGCGGCGCTGAGGAGAGACAGCAGCTTCAAACAACAGCAGCCAAAGATGACAGACTCTAAAGCCAACAGTGAACAGACTCACGATGAACAATATGTCCCTCTCTACGCATGTGGAGACATACAGTCGTGCTGGCACTGAGCGGCGTGAACATGTCACCAGCAGCAGAACCCGAGAGACGCTCAAACACAAAAACATGCAGCATTCAGACTTCATCTGTGCCGACTTGCGTTCATCGCTACTCCATTAATTCTGTCTCAACAAGCGCTGCATTATTTTATGCATTCTTATGCATTTTAATCCATTTTAAAAGAAACTTATTGCCTTGCTTAATGCTTTCCCTAAACCCAAACCCTCTCCTCCAAAAACCATAAATCTAATCCTGATCACAAGCCAAGCTGTGTTCTTGAATTAACTGGAACATGAGGACCATGAGCACAAGCCACAACACACACACTCATCCACACACA